AATTCAAATTTTTATTAAAATTTGCTATTAACAAACATCCAAAACAAAAGGACATGTCATTCCAAGAGTAACAACATATAGAAAAACAAAAACAAAACAAGTTGAAGTTTGTAAGTTTGGTTCCCATGAGAGCAACGTCAAAATGGCTTCTACATGTACTTATTTGCCTTGGGTGCATTGTTGCCATTTTAGCCATTTTCCGGCTAGATCTAGCCGGTTGCGATAGCAAACAGCCGGAGAAATTTCGGTTTAGCCGGAAGCCGATTTGTTAGCCGTTTTGTAAAAAAAAAATTATCCGTTTTTAGCCGATTTTGCTATTTACCTTGTTTTCTTAAAATTCAAATATATATGTTTCCATTTTTGACTAAGAGATCCAAAATCTGTTAGAAATGGCTACTAGCGTTGTCGCAGAGGGAAGGTTATATATAATTGGGCCGTTTTCGCTTATTTTTATTTTAAACGAATATTTTTTTCTAAAGAATTATTTAGCCTTCACTTCATAAATTTTCGCTTGGGAATAAATTCTATTAATAAAAAATGCCTATAAAAATATAGTTTAATTTTTTTATTTTTAATTAAATATAATAAATTATAATGCTTTCGTCAATTCAAGGGCTGGAGGCCAAAAACTACTTATGTGAGGCACCCTTTAAAAGTCTTTTAAAAATTATTAAGATTTTCGCTGACGCATGAGTAATTAATTTGAATATAACAAATTACTTTTAGTGCTTTTGTCTCTTCAAGGGCTCGATATCAAAAATTACTTATGCATAAATGAGGCATGATTCAATAATAATTTCTTGCTCCCTCTTGAAAAAATCGACTCCTTTAGCGAGTCACCGTGTGTGTTGAGCAACCTTTTATACGGGAGTGTCAAAACTAATGTCACTAGTGAGCAAACCCTTAATTAGTGAATCATGTAAAAACGTACCTCATGTTTTTGAAGTATTTTAAATATTATTAAGATATTGCTGACTCATGAATAATTACGGGTCTTCCCTTAAACTCGTAAAGGCCTCGTAAACCTCGTAAATTTACGAGCCTCGTAAATGAACTGTCAAAATTTGTATGGAGCTCTATTTATGAGCCCCTCGTAAATTTACGAGGCATACTTGATGCGCAAATGACCTCGTAAACTTCAGTGTTGCCGGGGAGCAGAAAATGTTATACTAAAATTATTATATTACATTGAAACCATATGAAAAATAGTAATATGTGAATAAGAATAATGAATTTCATCCACTAACTGTACTAACATGGGTTTTCTGCTGATTTTCGGCATTTTTATTTTTATTTTAGTCAATAGTGAAAGAGACAAGATGGCGGGCCGTTAGGGAAAATACTACGAAACAAAAACTGTACTCACATCCTGGATGATCTGTCAAACAGTCACTTTACCCACCTATTTACACATTTTCACAAAGGGGGCGTTCCTATAAAAGCCTCTTAAACTTACGTATTTTACACAGTTTAAGAGTTTAAGAATCCCCTTATTGTTTAATTTTCCCTCTTACGCGCCAAATAAATATAGGTTTGCAATTTGCAAAAACATCATTCTTGAGAAAAAACCCTCAATGTTAGCAGCTCATATCGATGTTTCTATCGATGTTTCTCCGGTTCTAAAGGGCTGACTATAATATGAATAAGCAAGCGTATGCAAACGTGCGAATACACATAAATCATATTCTGAAACTATAATGTACTTAACATCAAGTTTCGTCAAACGTCATTTGCTTAAGGAAATTACGATACTGGTCGCACCTTCCGTAGGGAATCAGCTGTTTGTACTTGTATGTATGTTTGTACTCGTATGTATGTATGTACATATGTAACACAGCAGTGTTACCGCTCTGAGAATTTTTTACCGAAATTGGTAATTTTTTCCATTGTTTATCATATTTGGTAATTTGATAACTTATTTTCAACTTAGTAACTTTTTCGATTCAGTCTTACATATGACATAGGTCAAAACAAGTTCTGGTTCCACATTAGGAAGTTGGCCGTAAGCGTTTCCTTTTACAGAAATACCAGGTAACCCTGAAAGTTTCGCAAGGCGAACAGTTTTTCGGCGTTCCTAGGTTACCATAATTGTGTGATCTACAACAAACTGCTTGATGGTGGCTATTCTTAT